GGGGTGGCAGGGTCCCTTTCGATTGTCCACGGGGATATCCATTTTTTTGAAGCCTGCGTCGACGGAGGGTGTCACATTGCACTCCCACTCCCCGTCGACGGTTTGCTCCAGGCCATCATCGTTCGGCGAGATTACTCGTCGCACTTTCATAGAAAGGTCGCCGACGCATCACTCCCAGCCACCGTCCACCACGCTCAATAAATCAGGAGCACGGGCCACTCATCCCCAAACGCATTTCGAGCGCGCGCATGGATTGCGAGCATAGTAGTGGACTGGTTTCTCGCCGCGCTCTTGTCTGCCTTTCGCGCGCTGTTGTGCCGTCGCCTGCTCCCGCCGCGCAACTTCGTTAATGGCCACTGTCGTCGTCGACCACGTCACCATCTGCGACGCGCGCCGTCTACCATCTCTACCGTCCACCAATTGTCTTGGCGCCATTCGTCGTCGTCGCCCCGTCATCACCTGCCGTCGTTCGTCGTCGCCGCCCTTGTCGCCGTCAACGTCCATCCGCCATTCGTCATCGTCGACCTTTCAGTCATTCGTCGTCGCCCTGACCGTCATTCGCCACCCTGTAATCCGTCCGTGTACTCATAGCCGTCCGTTCCATTCTGTCTTCCATTCTCGCCGCCCTGCGATCATCCAGCCGCCGCGTGGTGTACTCGTCCGCAAGTTCTGCGAACCACTGACCGCGATCGAAGGCGCTTTGTCGGATCCGCCATGTCTTCCCGCGGAGGTGGACGGGCGAAGGCTTCCTTGAAGCAGATCGTGGAAGGCGCGACCCCCGCGAAGAAGGGACGTCATTAAGCGAAGAGGCAGAGGAAGGGCGTCAAAGTCGTGGCCGCTGGCAGTGCGCGAGACGTTGTGGAGGAGGTTGTGGTGGAGGAAGAGATGACGAACGACGACGACGGCTTTGAAGATGACGACGATGAACCACAGCCGAGGAAGGCGAGGGTCGGTTCCGCGGTGGGGATTAGAATAAACGAGGGGGGGGAAGGGACACCGGCCGCACGGCGCGGCGGTGGCGTTGCCGCTGCTAACCAACCAGTCTTTGTCGACGTGGCACGCGACGTCGCAAGGAGGGATGTCGCTGGCCGAGCGAAGGAAGGGGCCGCATCGCATGAGACTGCGCAACGCGTGCTTGTGCCAGTGAATCGCCCCCGAACCCCAGCTGCAGACGTGGCGGGGGGTTCCCAAGCAGCGGTTGAAGGTGGGACGTCGCGATCTCCCGCGGTGGCGGCGCGAGGCGGTGCTGTGGCGGTCCCGGGAGAGGCGGTTGACGTCCCGAAGGGAGGAGATGGCGTGGCGGGCGGGGAAGACGACGAGGCTCTGGTGCACAGGCTGCGAGGGCAACGAGCGGCGACACATGCGATGGATGCCGCCGCCAAACTTTGGGAGGATGACAACAGAGTCTGGAACGACACGCAGGGGAGCGCCGTAGTGAGGATAATCCAAGAAGCGCCGCGTATCTCGTGGCCGTGGCGCGGGGAGTGCAGCCTCCGGCTATTCGACGGAGCATCTCCCTTCCACACAACTCCATCCCCCAACACAAAATCGAGGATGAGTCGGAGCTCAACGCGGCGAAAGAGAGGGCGTTGAAAGTGCAGACAATCTCCCTCAGGGCGATCCACGGTTGGGTCTTCAAGTCAGAGAGCAGGGAAAGAGGGGGTATCACATGGCATACCAATACTCGTTGAATCACGCTGCCACGGACATCACTAGAGCAATGTGGTCAGCAGAGGACTGGCGCAGTTTGGTGAGCCCAATGTTGTTCTACACCACATTGAACGCAGACATGAAGTTGCCTTTTTGGTTCATGGGCGTGAACATAGTGGACAGGCACGAGGACGATGAGTGCACGGCTTACCAGGAAGCTTGTATCCAACGTCTTGTGCGGGATTTCACAAGCGTCGTTGGCACAGCAGAAGCTATGGATGGTGGTCGAGTGTCGTACGAGCGTCTAAAGGGGATGGCAAAGGCGATGAGGTATTTGCTCGCCGCCACGATGTGGATTATGCGAATGGCAGGGGAGGATCCGAGATCGCATTACGACGCTTGGGTTTTCGTTCAACTGATGGCGAAGACGATGCTGCTGGCGTCCGTGAATTGTCAATTCGTCGCCCGCCGACACATCACGCAATCCGCCCAGGTCATGACAGACAAGTTGGGGAGACCGCCTCCAACCTTCGCCCCCCCACCTGTGTACATCCCCGATTGGGCGTCTAAGTGCGGGGTCACTTTCTGGCACGACGCCACGTTGGCCTCCCCGACGGAGGCGAAACGGTTGGATTGGCTGGGGACAGGTCCCCCCGAGGACGACGACGACGACGCCGAAGGCGATGACAAAGGCGAGGGGGGGTGACGCGTAGACGACGTTGATGG